CCTTTGAGGTGTCGCGTATAAATACAAAAAAAATAAAAGCAGATAATCTTCCACTGCACACCTGATCATTTCTCACGGCACACCTATATGTGCTGTGGCACAGTGGTTGGGCAATACTGGCTTAGAGTTTCCTATCAGTTATACAGTGCCTGAAAACCTCTATAGGTGCCAAGTTGGCAGCTTTATCAGGTCCCTAAACTACCACTGCATTGACATAAGAGTAATTGCTCAAGTACCACCTAGTTGTTTATATTATTTATTCCCCACAAAGCGGGCGCTCAAAAACCCTATATTTTTCTCATTATTATTGTCACTGAAGTGAAGTCGTTCTCCATGTTCCACCAAATCCTGTGGAAAAATATCTGCACACGTTTGCCAGATGTTGACTTTTCTTACAGGTTACAAGTCTAATTTGAAGAGGTATAGCGGTGAGGCAGCATGCTGTCTCTTTGAGTTTGTTTGCTGGAAACATCTGCTCATGTTTTTATACAGTTATTGCGATGACAGCTGATAAACTTCGCCACCGCCCACATGTGGCTGGAAAAGCAAACCAGTTAGTAAATGAAAGTTAAAGAAGTTATAAGCAGCGCAGAGCTGTTGATCCCTCAAATTAAACAACACCCACCAAAAAAAATCCCTCAGACAGCTAAAATCTGTGAACGTGACTAGCAAGTGACAACTTGGCCTTCTTCAGCTTCCTGCGTAAAATCCCGAATTCCAGGGTTTGGGATACTCTATCAGTACAAACCTATGGTGAGCATTTTTTTCCCTCATTGTCACATTTCTTTAAACCTTTCTCACTTTTATCTCCTCTGTCTGTCTGTCTTGTCAGCAGTTACCATGGCACTGATTTCTGGTTATTACGGGGTATTAAGGTATAAGTTGTGCGGCTAACCGTGTCGTCCAGGAGGATTGGACAAGGGTTAGGAGAGAGTGTTTTGCAGGGGTTTTAGAAGACTTTCTGTGACAGGGAGGATTTCGGCTGACATTTAGTGTGTGGTGTTTAATACTGTCTGTATGTGTGGTGTGAGACAGACAGACCTTTGGAAGAAAAAAAAAAGTGTGTGAAATGTGCCACAGAATAATTCCTGCATTTTCTAGGAGAGCTGCCCTCCGTTGAAAGTCCTCTGGGAGAGGTTTACCTCAAGGTCAATAAAAGATCTGCTCAGTTTTATCAGATAGAAGCGGAAGTGATCATTAAAATGACGCAATATTAAAACTTGACATACAAAGCCTGCAAACAAATTCAATAATGGTTCACTTGGTCTTATTGTCGCTGCATGATCAGTCCGGTTTTCATTTTCTTGTTCATCTGATTTTTATGTATCTGCGGGATATCGTCTGAAATTCTGTAAAGCCAGGTCAGGTCCAGAATTGCAAAGAGCATTTCTGTACGGACCTTAGCTTTGTGTCCGCACCTGTGTGTGCACCTCCCCACCGAGACTTTACATATCAAAACTCGCTGACCTTTATAAATACTGCAGTAGGGATTTGGAACAAAGCTAGCCCATATCAGCAGACTCACACTCTGGCCTTTTTTTTTTCTCTAGCCACCTCATCATCTCTTTATTACTTTGTTCTTTTTCTTAACCTCCTCCCTTCCTTTGTAAACCGATCTCTTCTTTTTTTACCCTCTATTTCCTCCCTCATTTCCCTCCCCACATCCTTCCCTGCTCTCCCCATAAGCTCACTATTCTTAGATGGTAATTTCTCTCCTACTCACTGCCACTCTTTCCGCTATCTTCTCCTTTTTCATCACCTGTCCTGACATGATCACCACTGCCCTCTTTCCCCCCCCATCTCTCTGCTTCTCTCTCTTAGGACTATTTTCTCCCACCTTTTCTGATTGCGCCACATTTGTTTTTCGGTGCAGAGTAAGCTTGTTAGCAGTGGGTGGCATTTTTTGACTGGCAGCTGAGGGTGGAGAAAGCCTGACAACTTAAGGGCACAATCTGAACCGAGCTGCTGAGAGAAAGTGCTGCTGGA